GTTTGGAAATACAGGCATGGTTTTTCAATGCTTTTCATTATTAAATTCAAACTCTAATTAGGTTGAAGTCTTCTCCTCTGCTTTAGCAAAACTAAATTTTCTTTACTGGCTGAGAGGTTTACCTAGACCACCTTGAGAAGACTGTATTTTTGTGAACAATGTGATAGTTTCCAATGAATGGATTACATAGTGCACACAGTGGTGTTCACTTCCCTTAGCAGGGTACATTGAGATGATTGTGAAAGTTGAAGTTTTGAGGAAACATATAAAAAATACAAATATTAAAATTCACACCAATTAAGTGAAAAGACAACCTACAGAATGGGAAAAAAAGATTTTCAAATTGTATATTTGATAAGAAACTTATATCCAGAATACATGAAGAACTCTTAAAATTCAAATAAAAAGACAAATTACACCCCCTCTCATGGGTAAACAATCTGAACAGACATTTCTCCAAAGATAACATATAAATGGTCAATAAGCACATGAAAAGATGCTCCACATCATTAATCTTCAGAGAAATGCGAATCAAAACCACAATGAGATACCACCTTATTGTGATACATCCACTCAAATGGCTGGAATCAAAAAGACAGACAAAAATGTTGGAGGTGAGAACGTGGGGAAACTGGAACCCTCATGCATTGCTGATGAAATGCGCAATGGTGCAAGTCACTTTGGAAAACAGTTTGGCAGCTTCTCGAAATGTTAAACATACAGTTACCATATCACCCAGCAATTCCATGGCCTGTTGTATAAATATATGTATAACAAAGAAAAATGAAAACATATGTCCTTATAAAAACTTGCATACGAGTGTTTATAGAAACATTATTCATAATAGCTGAGAATAGAAACAATCCAAATTTTCAACAACTGATGATTGGCTAAACAAAATGTGGTATATCTATACTGTGGAATATTATTGGGCCATAAAAAGAAATAAAGTGCTGATACATACTACAACATGGATGAACCTCAAAAACATGCTAAGTGACAGAAGCAAGTCACACACACAAAAACCCCCCACATATTGTACATATATGATTCCATTTATATGAAATATCCGGAATAGGCAAATTCACAGAGACAGAAATTAGCAGTGTCATAAGCTGGGGAAAATGGGGAGCAACTACTAATAGGGGAGAAATTTCTTCTAAAATTAGGTGGTGGTGATGGTCGCACATCCCTGTGAATATACTAAAAATCACTGAATTGTACACTTTAAAAGGATTAACTTTATGGTATTTGAATTAGATCTCAATAAAGCTGTTATAAAAATTTAATTCAACAACATTATTTCTTATCCTTCAGACTGGCAAATCTAAGAGTCAGACAACATCAACTGTTAGTGAGAATGCTGGGAAATTGGAATCACCACACGGTGCACTAGGGAGTGTAATTGGTACAGCTGGCTTTGGCAATATCAAGCAAAACTGAAAACACACACACTCCATGAGTCATCAATTCCTCTTCTAGGGCGATAACCAAAAGAAACGTTTATACACAGGGCTTTCGCTGTGGCAAAACACGCAGTAGTGAAAAACTTGGAAACAATCTAATGATTAGATTCGATAAGGTAATGCATATGTAACAGCATATAATAACTAACATTTATTGGGTGCTTAATCTGTGCCAGGTACTGTTCTACCTGCTTTATTTGAATTAAACCATTAAATTCTCATGACAACCCTGTGAGATAGAAACTTTTATTATTCCCATTTTACAGGTATGTAAAATGGCCTTCGCCACCACACAATGCTGCTCATGTATTATATTCAATGGAATATGGTATAACTCTGAAAAGAAATAAACTAGAGCTACAAATTCAACAATCACAGGTATGAGAAAGATGACACTGAGAGCATGAAGAACCTGCAGAGTGACACAGTGAAGAGGCCATCTAGCATGATGGTCGAGAGCTCAGGCTCCGGAGCCCGACTGCAGTATGAGTTCTCAGCCCCACCACTCATTAGCTGTGTGACCTTGCATAAGTGACTTCTCTGTGTGCCTTGATTTCCTAAAAAAGGGAATAACAATAATAGTATCTGCTACACAGGATCACTGAAAGGACTGAGAGAGTGCAGCTCAGGTACACAGTAATCACTGAAATGTTAGTACTGTCGTTACTGTGCATGCAGTATGTTACTTCGCATACATAAATAGCACCCACAAAGCAATATTGTTCACAGATGTGCCAATGGGTATATAAACATACATGAAAACATATATCTATGTTTATATACAATACACATATATATACACACACACATATAGAAGTATTCAAAACAGGCTAGAAAGATACAAATTTCATGATAGAAGTCATTGCTAGGTAGACAATAACTTAATAAGGATGAGTCTGGGACTGGGGGTAACATGTCAAATAGAATTTCATTTTATCTACAATGCTTCTTTTTTATTAAAAAATCTTAAAGAACATGTGACAAATGTTAATCATTGTAATTTTAGGTGGTGAGAACATGAGTGTGTCTTGTTATCCTTTGTATTTTCATTCTTAAAATTTATTTTTAAGATTTAAAATACCAACTCAAAGACATTTTTTTTTTTCCCGTGTCCGGCAACGGATCGCAACCCTCAGTGTCGCCCCCGTACCGGACCGGGACCAGCAACGGGATCGCAACCCTCGGTGTTGCTCCCATGCCTCGCTCAGCCAGTGAGCGGGAACCGGTCTGTATGTGGGATCTGAACCCTCGGCGGGAGCGCCGCTGCACTTCCCAAGTGGCGCACTACAGCAGTGCACCACCGGGCCGGCCGTCAAAGACATTTTTAAAAAAGTAAGATGCTTTTTCTTCAGGGCCTCAAATAAAAGATTGCTCAATATTAGTCACATACTTGTTAGCATCTACAAGTAGCTGAGTGACTTAGCCCTTCACTTAGCTGATTTTACACAATTTACTTAACCCACACACTTAATAATCCAATTTATCTGCCCACACGCACAAGTTAGTTGCAATGAATTCAACATACTGACTTGTGCATCAGAAAATAAAAATGAGACAAAAATGAGCAAACAAATCATTATTTGTTTAACCCGAGAAGAAATACATTTGTAAAGCTGCCTTGAGAATGGGCATTTCTCAATATTGACATGAGTCAGAGTGCACACACCACCACTGCCTAATAAATTTTCTGTTTGCAGCGATAACTGTGTCTAAACCCTCACAATAAAAGGATGCACTGAAGGATCAGATTCAGGTCAGACTCTGACAGGTAAGAGATTTGCCAACCAAGACGGTGCTGCTGCAGATGAAGCCACAGCCTCAGCATCTGTTCTCCCTGGTTTCTCTCCAGCCAGGTTGCTTTTCAAAGGGAGCATCTGCTAGTGAGCCTGTCATCCCAGTTCCAATGGAGTGGTTAGGAATTACTAATTCTCTCAGGGCTCCCTAACTTTAAGGGAACTTTTGGGAGGCCATCTTTTGCTTTAGTAGTTCCTTTTCACTTTCTAATTCTGTTCTCTTCTTTCAGACTTGGTCTTCTACCCTGCCTCTGTTCAGCACTGCTTTCTCAATTCCCACATGCCTCAGTGGCTCTGCACCCACTCTTCATGTCCTCTGAATATCCGAGGTAATGGTGATGGTTGAGGAGGTAGCAGCAGGAAATGGAAGCCAACCTCCAGTCCTGTCCCTGCTGCAAACCTTTTCCTACTGGTCAGTGGCTGCTCTGCAGGCTACAGGCAGTCATGTACCCTCCAAACTTCCTATGATGACACTGATCTCAGCAATCCTATCCTGCTCTTCTTCACATGTTTTCATTCAATGATTATGTCTCCCTTTCACATGGCAGCCTTGACAAAGGAATGGGAGAAGGCACGGCTTAGTGGCA